GTTGCAGGGGCGGGATGCCGTTTAGGCTGTGAGACGTTGGTGTGCAGCCGCAGGGTGAAAAGCCGGTGGGTTGCAGGGGCGGGATGCCGTTTAGGCTGTGAGACTCAGTTTATACTGAGTAACCAGATTCTGATAGATATCGTTGCAGGGGCGGGATGCCGTTTAGGCTGTGAGACCGTTAGCGGTGTCGTAAATTCCTTTTTGCAGAGTTGCAGGGGCGGGATGCCGTTTAGGCTGTGAGACCGCATTCTTCATTCTTCCAGTATAAGCACTCTATAAGTTGCAGGGGCGGGATGCCGTTTAGGCTGTGAGACAATCTTTTTACCTTTATGGGTCTCCAGGATAGGTTGCAGGGGCGGGATGCCGTTTAGGCTGTGAGACTCCATACTCCCTCTTTTTCAATGGTATTGTTATAGTTGCAGGGGCGGGATGCCGTTTAGGCTGTGAGACGTACCCGGCCTGCCCTGTATACGGGATTGTCTGGTTGCAGGGGCGGGATGCCGTTTAGGCTGTGAGACCCCCGCCGCTTCCAATAAGTCCAACGTCAAGTAGTTGCAGGGGCGGGATGCCGTTTAGGCTGTGAGACCAAAGGCTACCAACGCTAAGAGGTGGTGTAAGCGTTGCAGGGGCGGGATGCCGTTTAGGCTGTGAGACGTTGGTGTGCAGCCGCAGGGTGAAAAGCCGGTGGGTTGCAGGGGCGGGATGCCGTTTAGGCTGTGAGACAACCGCTTTTTTGTATTGGCGGGCGAATTCCTCTGTTGCAGGGGCGGGATGCCGTTTAGGCTGTGAGACAAACGACAGTCGTCAAACCAATCAGTAATTTTCTGTTGCAGGGGCGGGATGCCGTTTAGGCTGTGAGACATCTCAGGGAAATAATCCTTTGCTACCTCCCACTGCTGTTGCAGGGGCGGGATGCCGTTTAGGCTGTGAGACATTGCTGAATCCCTGCTTCTGCTGCGACTGCTGCGTTGCAGGGGCGGGATGCCGTTTAGGCTGTGAGACTCGAAGTGTTCACCGCTCATTGAGAACACGTATCAAGTTGCAGGGGCGGGATGCCGTTTAGGCTGTGAGACTAATAAGATCTTTGCGATCTCGGATGTTTTTCATGTGTTGCAGGGGCGGGATGCTGCGCGTGATGTGATGCTACAATCAAAGCCATTCCCTATTGCCCGGTCTACGCTAATGTCAAAACGCGATAATTTCCCTGTTGATGTGCCTGATGTGATTATCCCTTACAAGCTTGGCGATTTGGGCGGACACATTGATTACCAAGCAGCCAAAGCGGGTGACACAATCGCTGCTGTTAGGCTTGCTAATGACCTTGTGACTAATGATGTCGCTAAAAAAGTTGCAAGTATTGGTGGTAATGATGTGCTGTTATTACCTGTATTGGCTGAGGAAGAAACTGGCAGAAACAAGATACCGCTGGCGATTGCCAAGGTATTGCAAGGCAAAACCGGGCGTAAAGTTGAATTGAGCGTTTATCAAGTGAACAAGCCAACCCGAACAGGGCTTAATGGGCTTGACCGTATCTTCGCTGTGCCTGAGTTTGAGAGTGACACGGATTTGTCTGGCAGGTCGTTCTTGCTGGTGGATGATACCTTGACGCAAGGTGGTACATTCGCTTCTCTTGCTTCACATATCAGGCAGAATGGCGGCAATGTCTCGGGTGCAATGGCATTGACCGGGAAACAGTTCAGTGCTAGGTTAAAGCTTGATTCCTCCACGCTTGGCAAGCTCAAACAGCAGTATGGTGATATTGAAAATGATTTCAGGGAAGCAACGGGTTATGGTTTTGATGCGCTCACGGAAAGCGAGGCGCGTTATCTTTCCAATTACAAACCGTCTCAAACCGTCAGAGATCGCATCCTTGAAGAAAGAAATGCGGCAATCAGCCGCCGAAATGGATAAGATACTGGGTATCTGACAAACGATACCGAAGGCGAAGCCCCTCCCCGTGAGGGGTTTCGTCGTTATCTGCCTCCTCCCCCTTCACTTAAACCAACGCAAAGTGATAGCATTGATAGCAACTATCTAACCGGAGCGTGAAACGATGACCAACTTAATCGTCCGCAAACTCGAACCTGAAATTATCGAAGCACTCAAGCAACGAGCTGCCCGCAACGGCAGAAGTGCTGAAATGGAACACCGTGCTATCTTGCGTGAGGTGCTGCTGGTACTAAAAAAGCGCAGTCTCGCTGATGTGTTGGCGGCTATGCCGAATGTAGGAATCGATACCGACTTTGAACGCATCCAAAGCAAGCAGCAGGTTCCAGATGTATTTGCTTGATACCAATGTCATCAGCGAAAACCGTAAAGGGCAACGCGCCAATCCGGGTGTACAAGCATTTTTTCAACAAGTCATCAGCAACGGCGACAAGCTATTCCTTTCGGTGGTGACTATTGGTGAATTGCGACGCGGGCTTGAACTGATCCGTTACCGTAACGACCATGCACAAGCACAGCAATTGCAACAATGGTTGGAGCAAATCCTGAGCGACTACAAAGACTATATCATCGGGCTAGATGCTGATGCCGCCCAACTTTGGGGTCAGTTGCGAGTTCCCCACCATGAACACGAGCTGGATAAACTGATCGCTGCGAGTGCGTTACTCTACGATTTGACCGTCGTAACGCGCAATGTCGATGACTTCGCAGAAACAGGTGTTAAACTGCTGAATCCATTTTCTTAAACCAGATACCTTCATGACAACACCTTCCAACGATGAACTCAAAACCCTGCTGCTGGATCACTACCACTGCACGTTTTTCATGCCACTACTCGGCTTTGGTAAGGGCATCGCCCCCAAAGAAGACTTAAAAAAAATCTACCCACTCGACAAAGAACTCAGCGAAGCAGATGCTGAAGCCTTTTACTACTTCACCCCTACTCTACGCGATATCGTATTCGACCGAGGAGTGCCGAACGAAAGTGGGTTACAAGCCATAGAAGAATGGCATTTATCACCAAACACCCTGAAAGATTGGCGGCTGGAGCTATTACCCAGCCCAGACCAAGAAACAGACATTAATGAGGGAAAGCTTGATCGTGCATTAGTACACCAAAAAGTAGAATTCCAATCAGTACGCCTCTACCGCTACTTCAACGGCATTTACATGCTTGCATTTACCGTCAGACCCCATGCCACGCAACACCTGTATCTCGAAGCATGGCTACGTTTCACCCGTTTAGGGCGACAGTTATACCCAACCTTCACCGAGCAATGGAGCGAAGGGAAAATTGCCCCGCTCAAATTGACTACCTCCGAACTGGCTGAACCTCTCCGCGCTCTTGATGCGGAAGTATCGCGCCACTTCCCAAAATCATCAGAATACCTATCCCCTATTCTCATTCACTTGGTGCAGCAATTTTTTGCCGATGACATTAAGCAGAAACTGAAAGACGAGATCCGCCTGTTCGACGACCGCATGTTTGTCAGCGTCGCCTACGGCTTGGCTGATGAGAAGCTCGATGAAGATAAACGCAAACGCATCAAAGCCCTTATCGCCACCACCGACCGTTTTGAAGACACATGGTCAGAAATGGATGGCTATGCCTACAGCCAAACCGCCATTGAACGCCTCATGCAAAACACCGAGTTTGACTTCTGGGCGGACAAAGGCGGGCATTTCATTTACAACGACATGGTAAATGGCTACCTATACAGAGATTGGTTTTTCAACAATATTATTGCACTCAAACACATTCCCTACATCTACGACCGGATGCTAATCCAAGCCCTGTTCTATCAAGCATCACTACGCCATTACGACCATGAAATCACACGCAAAACAACGGATATAGAGAGCCAAAAACCGGAAAAAACAAAAAAAGATCGTAGAACAGCACTACAAGACATTCAAAAACAGCGTGGTGACTTTATCGAATTCACCAACCAATACTGGTTCCGGGAAGTGACCAACCAAATGCAGGGCAAGGAGATTTTCCGCTTGCAACAACAAGGGCTAGGCTTACAAGAGCATTACGCATTGTTACAGGATGAAATCATCCACACTAATGAATACCTGCAAGCACTAGAAGCCGACAATGCCGAAAAACGCGCCCACCAATTCACTAAACTAGCGGCGGTACTAGCACTCGCTGCCGCAATACCTATTTTCAACGACATCTTCAAATCAGAAACCTCACTCTGGCAGTCGATAGCGACATTTCTGGCAAATACCTTCTGCCTATCTGTTTTTTCCGTGAAAGTGTCATTAGCCGTTGTATTAGCATTGTCGTTGTTGGGACTATTCACCTACTTCTGGCGCAAAAAAGATTAATTGCCAAATCCCAACAGGTCATAGCTCAGATTTCAACTTCGTCCAGTAGCGCATATAGAGTTCCAACGCATTACCAATGTCACGCTGGAATTCCGCTTTTGACACCACATCAGACGGCGGAAAAATCATCGGGTTATCCCGCGTTTCTGCGTCCAACATAGCTTTGGCAACCGTATTAGGTGTCGCGTAACCTAGCTCCTTGACACACTGCACCGCCACTTCGGGGCGCAGCATATAGTCAATGAACTTGTGGGCATTTTCCGAGTTACTAGCACGGGCAGGAATAACGAAACTGTCCATCCAGAAACTGGCTCCCTCTTTAGGATAGACATAATGGATTGCCGGATTTTTGCTGTGTGCAAGCACGGCATCACCATTCCAGAGTGTACCCAAGTCAACCTCCCCCTTCTCAAAGGCTTCATTGGCTTTATCCTCTCCCAGCACATGAACATTAGGCATCAGTTTTTGCAGGCGTTCGTAAGCCTGTTTGATTTCCTCCGGGGCAGTACTGTTAGTTGAATTGCCATCCAACCGCAACGCCATATGGAATACGCTACGCATATCATCCATTAACAACAATTTGTCACGCCATTGTTTATGCCACAGGTCAGCCCAAGACAAAACATTGGCGGTGGCTGGATTAGCCATGTTAACTCCCAAGCCAACACTGCCCCACAGATAGGGAATACTGAATTCATTGCTAGGATCGTAAGGTTTATTCAGCAGCTCAGGGTCAAGCTGTCCGTAGTTGCTCAGCAATGAGCGGTCGATCGGTTGTAGCAAGCCATCTTTACGCAAGCGTTCCACCATATACGTGGAGGGAACCAATACATCATACCCCCTCCCTTTCAGCAGCTTTAGCTTGGTATACATGATTTCATTGTTCTTGTAGGTGACATACTGAACTTTGATGCCAGTTTCGCGGGTAAAGTCCTCCAGCACCCCGTCTGGCACATAATCTGACCAGTTATAGACAATGACGGTTTCTTCTGCCACTGCCGGGTTAGTGTTAGCGCCTACCGCTTGCCCGAATGCTGTTAGCATCAGAACTATGACCAAAATAAACTGTTGCATGGTAAATTTCTAATATTGTTGTTCAGGAATGCAAAAGCGAGGGTGGTTTACCAGCCTGCTGTTTCACGATCTGCTTACCCCGCCGGAACTCACGCATAAAATGCTGCTTGGCTTTTGTCAGATCAAAATCCTGCAAGGTTCCCCCTGTGGCAAAATGCTTGGCAAACACCTTGCCCGTTGCATAGGTCAAACCACCTGCTGTTACACACATACCGGCACTGCCTGCGATGGAACCTATCCCCGGTAAAAACTTGAATGCACTGGATAATCCCGCAATCCCCACCACGGGCAGCAAGCCCATGACGAAAGAGCGTACTACAGACTTTTCGATATTGGTATAATATATGCCATATAATTTAACCAAATCATCCACCATTTTGAACTGAATATTGGTTAGCCCCACCACATCCAGCAGTGGCACTGGAATCAGCCCTATCGCCATTGCTTGAACAACGTTAGATTTGATAATGCTATCCGCTTGTGCCTCACAAGCCAGCCGCTGTTCAGTTTTCAGGCGCACTTGCTCGGCCTGCCGAGCCAAGGCTGAACCAGGGGCAACGGACTGCCAGTCATCCCCACTTGCTTCTGTCATGTGTGCCTCCCTCTACTGCTGCTGAAGTGATCGCCCCCGCTTCGAGCCATTGAGTTCATCGCGGATGTCTTGCACGAACCGTTTGCCGGTTTCCAGTTCACGCCGGAAAAAGACCCTCGCCGGTTTTGGATCAAACGTTTCCAATGTACCTCCCGCCTCAAAGTGCAGGATGAACGTTTGCCCGATGGCATACGTAATGGCTCCAGCCAAGGCACTCAAACTGGCGCTGCCTGCCAAAGTGCCAATGCCCGGTAGCAGTTTCGCAACACTGCTTAAGCCTGCTATCGTCATCACTGGCATCGCACCTGCCACCAGCGAATACAACACCGGCTTGAGGTCACGCTCCCCCACCCGTACACCGTAATGGGAAGCAAGGCTACGCAGCAGACTGATTTGCACAGCCGTCAAGGCAGACACATCCGCCAAGGGAACCGGAATCAAACCCAACCCAATACTGGCGATGATGTGATTCTTGATGATGCTGTTGGCCGTCATTTCCTGCACGTCGGCTGTCAGCGTAGCGGTTGCCGTGACGGGATCGCTAGTACGAATTCCCGTGATGACTTCAGCAGGCGATTGTTTTTCCGTCAATGGCATTTATCCCAACTGTTGGCGTGCAAGGTATAATACTTGCGCGTCATGACCATAATTTAAACGCTATAACTTTACCATAATCAAAATGAATATAACGACGGATATAGCGGGCTTAACAAAACTTAACAATTCAGTGCCTCTTTCAAAGCCCTGTTTACTTGACTCAATTTTGGGCAGGCGTTGATAATCAGCATTCGTTATCCATTTAACACCTTATGAAGGAGAACCTCATGGAAGCAGAAGTAGCAACCGCCGCAGCCGGTTCCAACAGCACTCTGGCAACTATCGGCAACTCACTGGCTAATGCTGGCACTGCCGCCAAAGTCTTTGTCCTAGCACACCCGATGGGTATGGCAGTGGCTGGTGGAGCATTGTTGGGTCTGGGAACGTACTACGCCTTCGGCAAAATGTTCGGTCAAAAGAAAATGGCTGAACCAGCCTTGGCTGCTGCCTGATTTATTTTCTGAACAAGAATTAAATCAACCCACCCCAATCCTGTTGCGGGTGGGCTTTGGTTTTATGGCATCCTAATCTCTTCAATAACAACGTCTTGCCGACTGTAAACCCCACAGATTGGTAAAAAAGGACAGAGTGTTACCTGTGGAAAACAAATCCATCAGCGCCCATGCGCAATTCAGACGCTGGCTCAGGGGAAAACTGCCCCTACTGGTGGTATTTACCCTAATCACCGCGTTAGTGGTTGTGTTCTTCTTCAACCGTATTGTGATTATTATTGACTCAGGTCAGGCTGGGGTGCTCTACCGCTTGTTTGGCGGTGGTACGGAAACTGACACGATTTACCCCGAAGGCTTCCACATTCTCAACCCCTTCAACACCATGTACCGCTATGAAGTACGTAAGCAAATAGCCTTGCATCAATTTGATGTCATTACCAACAAAGGCTTGAGCATCCACTTGTCACTGGCAGTCCGTTACCGCCCGGAATACGAGTTGCTGGGTATCCTTCACCAGCGTATCGG